TATAACGACCTGGGTAATGGGTTGTGTGATTACATCCTGAGATCTAGTGTAGTGATATCCTGAGTTTTGTGTTGCAACATCCTGGGTGGTTGGCTGTGTTGTAACATCCTGAGCTTTAGCATTGTAACCTCCTGAGTTCTGTGATATGATGTCCAGAGCAGAAGGCTGTGATGTAGCATACCGGGCTTTGGTTTGGCTCTGAGTTTGCGGTCTGGCTCTGTGTTCATGCCGTGTGTCCATTTGCTTTGTGTGGGGGTCGGAGGGAGGTGCAGTAGCTGGTGATGTTGTCGTGGTTTGGCTTCTGGATGGTGGTTGCATTTCATCTGAGGGATGGGTTTGGGCTTGGGTTGGGTCTGGTGAGGGTGAATGGTGGTGGCGTACTGTGTTGTTCTGGGTCCGGTGTCAGTTTTCGTGGCTAGGACTCGCTTGTTGATTAGGGCTAGTTTCCAGATGTCTGGTAGGCGGGAGGTATCATCACGTTTATTCATGTTGTGGGGGTGTTTTTCTATTTCGATGGCTTCCATAATTATTCTCTTGTTGTGGTGTTCAGTTTTGGAGATTAGTTTGGTTCCTTCAAAATCAATTTCATGTCCTGTAGCTTTAAGGTGCTGGAAGAGGGAGGAAGTTTTTTCTTCTTTTCTGACTGCATTCTTGTGTTCTGCAATGTGGGCATTTATTCTCCTATTAGTTTGTTCAATATATGTGGCTGGGCAGATTTTGCATGGTATTTCATAGACTCCTTGGTTTTCTAGCTGGATCCTGTCTTTGGGGTTTCTTAAGATGTTGGCTATTTTTTGGTCGGTGCCGAAGGCTGTCTTGATATTGTGTTTGTGGAGAATTTTGCTGATTTTATCTGTGGTGCCTTTGATGTAGGGGAGGAGGGCAATGTCGTTGTACTGTTCTATGTCTCGGTTCTTGGGAGGTGTTTCCCTTTGGATTAGGTTGGTAATTGTATTTCTTTGGAATCCATTGGAGATTAATACGTTTTTGAGAGTGTGTAATTCAGTTTTCAGGTGATCTTTGTCGGCTAGGCGTTTGGTTCTGGAGATGAGGGTCTTGGCTACGGAGTTGATCTGTGCAGGGTGGTGATGGGATTGTACATTTATATATATATTTCTTATTTTTACTGGATTATATAAGAAGAAGTTAGCATGCAGTAGATAAGGTATAGAAGTTATAAAAATACTCATGTATGCCTTCTGTGGTTTGGATCACATGTTTAACCCATAAGTTTGTGGTTTCTTCTGGAACTTTCCACAACCCTAAAGGCCCGGCTAAGGCCTGAACTTTAATTCTGCCATCTCAACATAAGCATCTTTTAACCAATCATCAGAGTTATCAGAATCCTGTTTAAACTCTTCCCAAGTATGTTTATACCAAAAACAAAAGAATCATTACACACCCTTGTCTCTATATATCCTAGTCTCTATATGTGTCAAACCACTGACAGCGATTTATAAAGTAATCTGACAGGACACCAGCCATACATACAATAACAACAAATTTGAAATCATTTCTGTCTGATTAAACAATCTGTTTTCCATATATAATAGCATTAGCTGGCCTCAGTTCTGTGTCAATCAATATTTTCATATTTCTAATCATGCATGCAAGAGGGCTGAATGCCAAACTAAAAGGAAAAAAAGAAGCTGTATCCTTCATGTATATCACAGTATAAAGTTTTTTAAGTAAAGACATTTTAGAAACTGAATAAAATATGTTGATCCAGAATATAAACTCTGGGGGAAGCTAACACAAATCCATTTTGTAAACTTTTAAGGAGTTCTCCAACTCCTCCTCCAACTGCCTCCAGAAGCGGTGAATGCTCCAACACTGGAAGTTTTTAAGAAGAGACTGGACAGCCATTTGTCCGAAATGGTATAGGGTTTCCTGCCTGAGCAGGGGGTTGGACTAGATGACCTTCAAGGTCCCTTCCAACTTTACTATTATTATTATTATTATTAATGACTTCTGGATTTTGTCAACTTTGAGTTAATGCAAGCATATCAATTAAACACAGCAGTTGAAGGAACAACCTAATCTATGGGCCAAGAAATCTTTGTAATTTGGAGAAGAGTGGGTGGTTGTTGATAGGATTTGTGTAAGTCAGCCTTCCCAAATCTGGCAATCTTTACAAGTGTTCTATTGTAACGCTGGCTATGTATTCTGGGTTCTGTAGTCCAAAATATCTGAAAAACGCCAGGCTAAAGAAAGCAGGTATAGAAGAAAGTCCAGTGGAAACGCTGCCAATGATTTAGAAATGCCACATTTACATCTTGAAGCTGAATGTCTACAATATATGATATTATGCATATCTTCAAAATGAACTTTGAGATGTACTATCTATATGGGGATAAGGAGAATGTATTCTAAACAATAGAATGATCCTTCCAATTAAAAGATATGGAGTGGAAAAATTTTATGGGCTCTGCCTTTTGTTCTTATGGATCAAATTTGACAAATGGAATTGTTTTGTCTGGCTTGCTTTTTGGTTCCTTGTACAAATTTGCATGGAACAAAACAGTTGCTGAATGAGTTTATTTCTTTAAAAAATACATACACAGCCATTTCTTTCTTTATTGGTAAATCTATAACAATAAGTTACATTGGTATTCTTCCTATATCAGACTGAGGAGAACATTCCATCACTGAAAGACAAAAACTGCCAAGAACTCTCAGAATATATGAAAAATATTGAATAGGTTGTCTCACATTTATTTTCTAGTAACATTGATAGAACAAAGAAACTGCTGCCCTGAATCAATGTTTATGCTTCTATTTGTAATAAGATTGGAAATAAGGAGAAAATTTCAGGTTAGATAGAACAATATAAAAGAAGGAATACAGAGCAGGAGGAAGATAAAAAAACTGAAAACCAAAAAATAGGTTTGTATGTAAAGTTACTGTACCTAAAATGATGATAACTATTTCCCAACATATTTGTTGGGTCCCCATTTATTTCAAAGAGTGTTTCATAAAACAACAATATATTTGGCTCTTGTTCATCTATTTATATTTAATTCAACCTTTCCTATACATGTTCAACACCAATTGTTGCTCTGGTTCAGATCTGGTATTCTCATTCCTGATTGAGAAAAAATAAAAGAAACTAACAGGGCAAAATCATTCAGTGGTCTTATTTCCATTCTCAAAAATAAGGTCACCAAAGTCTGATGAGAATTAATAATTTCAGCTATATTTATGTTTGCTTGTTTATTCTTGCACATGTCATTCTAAGAGTTTGCATGATGGCATGTGTCTCCTGAAAAAAAAAATCAACTCCTGTTTTCTTTTGTCTTCTTCTAGGCTGGACAGCAACGGTGGTGGGAACAGGAAATTACTGTGAATGGGAAGATCCAGAAAGGAGAATTGATAACTTACAACTTAACAGAACTCATCAAACCTGAGGCTTATGAAGTTCGCCTGACACCAGTCACTATTTTCGGAGATGGAGATGCAACCATTCGTGTAATCAAGTACAGTGGTAAGGGGAAAAAATCAGAGTTTTCCTAGAGAGAGAGAGAGAGAGAGAGAGAGAGAGAGAGAGAGAGAGAGAGAGAGAGAGAGAGAGAGAGAGAGAGAGAGAGAGCGCTTGGGAACATAAGTCCAAAAGTCTGACTTCCAGCCTTCCAAACCTTGATGGGAGAGGTTGGGGCATCTTGGATTCTTATAGGGTTCTTACTCTAGTCTGATAAATTGTCCCTCCTATTATTTTTTAATATTATTAATATGCAAAACAAAAGCAAGCAATTCCTATAAAGCAGGCATGTCAAACTCAAGACGTCACGTGATGTTGCGCGACATATCGGGAGTTTTTCTTCATTGCTGGCAATGGGGTGGGTGCGGTTTTGACATGATGCATCTGGCCCACGGGCTGGCAGTTTAACATGCCTGCTATAAAGGATTCATTTTTTATGAATTGAACTCTTATAATCATACCTATATATCAGTGGTGGCGAACCTATGGCATGCGTGCCAGTGGCGGCACTCGGAGCCCTCTCTGTGGGCACAGGTGCTGTTGCCCCAGCCCCACCTCTCCCCATGGCCCCCTCCTCACCAGCAGCCCCCCAGAGGAGAGTTGCCCCAGAGTGTGGCCCATGCAGAGCAGCACAGCCAAGAACATGGAGCCGGGCAGCCGGGACAAGACTCCGCCCTCGCACTCCATTGCGCACTGATGATACTGCAGGGTGTGGGCGGAGGGCATGGCTGCCATGGTGCTGCTGGGCTGCCTTGGCGATCTGCAGTGGGTCATGGAGGCGGTGAGTGGCCCTGCAGACGGGCAGAGCGGGAGCGGAGCAGGCTGGGGGCCGGAGCAGAGTGAGCAGGATGGGGTGGAGCAGGGCGGGGGCGGGTTTTGGGCACTCGATCTCTAAAAGGTTTGCCATCACTGCTATATATTCATGTCAGAATAAACAATTAAATCATTCATAAGTCTATTATTATATTAAAGTATAAGTTATTCAATTAAAAATGGAAATTAAACATGTAAACTAGTCCATGGAATTCACATCTCTTAATAGTCATTGAAACAGACTGTCTGGCAAGAAAATGTTTGTTCAAATATAGAATTAGAATAAGTGATAGAGATAGCCTTTTAGATTCAATTTCTCTACAATGGTATATAGTATCCACTTATATTTTCCTGCAGTCAAAATTAAGTGCCATTCTCCTTTAATTGCAACCTTTCATTCTTTCTAGTTTCTTCTAGTTTCCAACCTTCAAAATCTCACCTTATCAATTTTTTTAAAGTATTCAAAACAACAGCATTATCCCACAGGAAGGATTGTTGTAATTAGTTTCAAAATCTTATTTCAAATCCATTTGGATTCTTAGTTTGTTTATAACTTCCCCAAATCAACACTCTAATCACCTTTTTGCTGTTTATCCCCCCCCCCATTTTTTTAAGTACTTAAACTTGTATAAAATTTCTTTTTACTAAGGATTGAAGGGTACTCACCCAGTGTAATAAAACCTGCCATTATGGAAGTTCCTAATATCCAAAAAGCAGTTAACAAGCAACTTCCAAAGTTGATTTTGAAAGGAAGTGTATGAACCCTGTGTCTTGTTTAAAGGCTTTGAATCACTGTTTGGGCTACAATGACATTCTCTCATCTATCAGTGCTTTAAACCCACAAGAGCACTATTTTTGGTACTCTCATGAGCAGATGTCTGGAGCACTTGTGGGCAATCCCAGTCCTCTCTTTGTCCAGAGAGGAAATACAAAGAGTTGGCTTTTCACTCAATAGTTGTCTACTCTTCTTTCAACAGAGCTGTCTTTAGTTCATCATTTCTTCCCCAGAAATCACTGCTTCATACTTTTTTTTTTTTTCACTAAAATTCTTCCTTGCTTTTTTTAGGAGTAGGAGCTCATGAAATTCATTCAATCTGACCTTCTCAGTTTTTATTGTTGCATTCACCCATTCATTCTTTCTTCTTTTGTTTTACTATACTGTCCTCATTAATTCTGTCTATAGGGGAAATCGCTAGATACATCTTTTGTATTGTCTCTCATTTTAGTATTCAATTCATATTTTTTGAATTCTTAACCCGATTTATTCTTGTTTTACCACACACAGTTCTTAAGTATCTCATTCCCACTGCATCCAATTTACTTTAATGTTTGCGGTAACAGACCCAACTCTCATTTCCATATAACAAAACATGCTCTTATACATTGCCATTTTCACTTCTGTGAACAGACATTCTTTATGTTAACTTTCTAACAGCATTTTCACATTTTAAAAATTCTCCTTCTACATTTCTATTTTTATAAAACTTTCTACACAAATTCATTTATTTCATCTGTCCTTCCAGAGCAAAACCTGCAATTGGTTTCCCCATTTTCCCTATTAAACACAGCTTTTATCTTTGATACATTAATTTTCAGTTCCATATTACATCATGCAATCTAACATATTGAAAAGCATTTTGGTTCTCAGCCAATGATACAATTCACATCCCCAACTATGTCTTTAATATCACCATAAACATTATTATATAGCCAAGGGGATATTACACATACTTCAGAAAGTAAGTTAGAAAGGAATTTAAGGGGAAACTAAGAGGAACAAAAAGGGACCGTCTACCTCTATTAATATAAAAAAGAAGGGATGAGCGTGCTGCTAGGAGAGTATGATGGGACAGTAAGAGGTGATAGGGAACATACATGGCTTTTCAACTCCTACTTTATATCAGAGTTCTTCCCAAAGAAGATACTGTGGTTCTTTGTTCAAATGAAATTAAGCAGGTAGGGGATTTTAAGTAAATAAAAAGGTGATTAGGAAGCACTGTGGTACCATAAAAAGGTTAAGTCTCCAGACTGAAACAAATTACATCTGATAGCCCTGAAGGAGCTGGTGGATGTGATTCTGGAGTTCTTTTCTGTGATTTCCAAGAAACTATGTGAGAATGGATCTAGTGCCAAATAACCAGAGAAGGTCAAATATTTCTATCTTCACATCAAGGGAAAAAAGGGGTCACTGATAACTACAAACTGGTCATCCTCTTGATGCTGACCTGCTAAAGAGTAAAAACCTTGTTTGCACACTGTCTGACTAATGTAAAACTGCATTGCTCCTCCCAAAGTTAGCTTATTGTCTCTCCTTTTCATCAAGATTTTGCCAGACCTCTCCCCAAACATACTTGGGAATAATTTATTTTTAAATTTAGTTTTCATTGCTATTTGTGTGCCACTGTAGCCCCAAACAGCTCAAGTAGCTAATTTCCTTGTACTTTTTCAATTTAATCTTCTTGGTTTTCCTCTTTGTTTATGAAAACAATAACGGTATTCTTTTAGTTGTCAAGCACAGGAGGCAATATGCATGCATACATTAAACAAGTCATTATCTAAATTAGGTAACAACAGATTCCAGCAAAAATTTATCATGTTAACCCCTGAAAGTGAGAAATTTTGCAGTGGTTAATAATCGAGAACATTTCAACACATTCTTAAAACTATATGGAGGAAAAACAGGTAGGCAGCCATGTCCATAGAATTTCCCTACTTTACTTTTGTCAGAGTATAGAAAACAACTTCATCCCACAAGCTCTACTCCTTTGTGTGTGTATGTGTGTGTGTGTGTGCTGCCATGAAGTATCTAGAAAAGTGCAGGATTATGTAAAAATGTAGCTTTCAATACCCTGACACCTCAAACACCCCACCCCAATTTTTCTGGTTGATGCACTGCACATAAGACATGACTTCTTTCAAACACTTCCCTTTTCCAACAGTGACCATTGGCATCACCTGTATTTTTTGCAGTGAAACAGACTCCATGTTTGGATGTGCTTGTTCACTTTCTCCCCAAGAGCTTAGGATGTGCAGTAGGTCTGTATCTGTGCCTATGTTGTGTAAGTGAGTGTCTGGGAAAGCCTAACCAAGATGGATGGATGTTGCTTCTGTGTTGCATCTTTATGTTTACATGTATATTTCAACTCTCCCCTCATGTTGCATCTTTGTATTTATGTGGATCACTCTACTGGGGAAAAAACAGAATAAGTGCATTTATTCTGCTCTGGATCATGTCACCAGAAGGAAAGGTGGCTTAGAATCGAGCAATTAGTGGATCTTCTGGACCACTACACAACTACACAACCATAGGATGTGTTTTTATTTTGTTTTGTTTTTCTGGAACTATTTTTCCCACATCCCCAAGTTCTGTCCCATTTGTAAACTTAGTGTTGCTTTTCCTAGCTTCTCTCTCCACGCAAAATTTCTTTCTGTTCCTGTTTCTGGAGATACAGAGTCCTGAGCAATTTTACATACTTTCTTTCCCAGATTATATTTTTTGGAAAGATTAAAAAAGTGTATTATTTCAACAAAGATTAAAAAAACCCAGCAAATCTGACCCAAAAGAAAAAAAAACTTTCAATATAATGAGTTCCCTTTGAGCTACTGTATTTCTTGATAATAAAAGATTAGAAAACTTGTTCTTGGTTGGTTTATTCCAAAAACAGAAGACTTGGCTTAATATCCCTCTTGAGTATGAATAGTGAAAGTATGGGCGATTAGAGAGAATTTGCTTTTTAATTTAACTCCCCTCTTTTTCAATACTGCTGATGTAAATGAGTAAGCAGAACAATCTTAAAGGCTTTTCTACTTAAGAGACATCAGTTGTGATTTTAATTTTCCCATCTTCTGCTTAGAGCTGCTGCTTGATGTAAATAAATAAAAAAACTGAGAAGAATGTTGATCTCTAACTACAATTGTGTATATCAATTATATTTAAAAGGAATTCATCAGATGCTTAAGTCCTAGTATTTTCAATACAGTTGGGAACTAAGATATAAACTTACTTTTTTTTTTCTCCACCTTGATTGGAAAACCTGGTTTTCTGCAAAGCCCAGAATGTAATCCTGTTCAGGGTCTATAGATCTGCTGGTGCACACAAAAAACTTTATTAGTTTATAATATAAAATAAAAAAGAAATAGTGGGAAAGTAAGGGAGGGAAAAGGGAAGGGTAAAGTGTAGGGCAAAGGGGAAA